GACACTCCTAGTCCTAGATTCAGCCGTCCCCGGTGACCGGCTGATCACTAACCTAGGCCGTGTCGTGTGCTTCCGTGGTGCCATTTCAAAAAAGAATAAAGTAAAGAGAAAATTAAGAGTAAGAGAACCGACGGTTACCTGAACGAGTGACGATTGATGAAGTTCTGAAAATCCTTTGCAGTCGGCTTGTCAGAGCAGGCGGTAGGCAGAAAGGGTCCAAAATGTCAGAGCAAGTTCAGGGGTCCGAATGTTCTCTCACAAAGTTTTCAAGTGTGAAAATGACCGAAGTCAACACTCCTTTATATAGGCGAAGTGAGAAGGCGAAGGGTCACTTCCAGAATTCAAAATTTTGGCGGGAGAATCTCTCGGCCTCTCGCCGAGTGACACCTGTAGCAGGCCGTCGCCTGTTACAGCGTGATACCTGTCACAGGTAACATGTGACCAGTCACGTGCCACCTGTGAGGGGCAAATGATTAGGGGATTTTTCCCCACCAGTCACCATCTGACAAGTGGACCAATCAGGTTCCGCCATGTGTCCGTCACATGGGCCAATAGGAGCCTGCCACGTGTCAAGCAATGATCCGTCCACCTTGGACCAATTACGACACGACACGTGTCCTTCCCATAACACATGGGATAACCGGTCACCTAGGCCCAACTTCCGAGGGAAGCCCAATCAGCCCAAGGTTAACCTAAACCTAGATTGGCACGTTTCCCGAGGTTATAAATACCTCCCTTAATCCTCATTAAGGAAAAAAACAGGCTGATCACGCTAAAAAAGCAGATTACCTACTTTAAACACTCTCACCTAGAGAGACCCAATCACTTTAATTTCCGCATTAATTACTCCTTAATCAAGTACTAACTTGACCGTTGGAGGCGGAGCTCCCACCACCAGGAGTCTCCGTTGTTTTGCAGGTACAGACGTCCGGTTCCAGTCTCGGAATTGTAACTCTCCCGCAGGACATCAGAAAACCCCGAAACATTTGCGGTTCATGCTTCTCTGACAAAGTATCGTGTGTTTTTCATAGTTTCTATTTTTAGGGCAGTGCATGTGTACCATATTACTCCAAATATTTATGCGCACAATGGAAGCTTTTTGTTATTCATCAATTGAAATAAAATCTTGGTCGAGGACATTTAATGGAATAATGAACATTTAATTTGTAAGAGACGTTTAATGTTCAATTGTATAAAAATTTAATAAAACTAGATGAAAGACCGTGCGATGCGCGATTTTTAATATATATATCTCAAGAAAAGATATTTTCCTATATACTCTAAGTTTTTTTTTTATTATTTTTTTAATTATTTGATTTATTTTACAATTTAATAATTCCAGACAAAAAAAAAACAAAAAAACAAATAATAATTTAATTAAAATGATATTGCCAATTACAAAAGTATAATTTTTTTTAATGTAATTTATAATGCGACTTAATTTATTGTTGTTTTGTATTTTATTCGTTGTTGTTTGTTATATGACAATAATATGATATCTTTAAAAAAAAATTGTAAATATGGTATTTCATTGATTACATATTAGGATAAAATCTTTAATGTGAAAAGATAATAATTTTTTTACTTTTATAATTTAAATCCTAACTCATTATCCGTTGCTTTTTACACTTGAAATTAAACTCTCAAATCTATATATCATTTTGTATATTTCTTGTGATCTCTTGATCTCTAACAAATTATATGTCTTATCAATTTTATAGACATAAAATGTTTAAGAAGGTAAAGTTTTTTATTGCGTTATAAGTTTTAAATTTTTTTTATGAAAAAAACATCTTATTAATCGGGTATTTAGATAAAACCATTAATTTCATAAGATATATTTTTTTTAATAATTTAAATCCTAATATCTCACGATTTTTTTATACATAAAATCTCATAAAAATAATTTTTGTAATTGGATCATACTCATAATAATATTTTTTATTACCTTGCTATTATTTGTTAAGGATAATTTTTTAATAATTTTATGTAATTTATTCTCCTAATAAATATTTTGATAAGAACATTAAAAATAATAGTTATTAGATGTAATATTTCGATGTAAAAAAATTTGTATTAAAAAAAATTTAGATAGGATCACCAACTTTATTCACACCCATATCTCTTCCATCTAATAAAAGTGGATAAATAGAACATGTTAGCAAAAATAAAAATTATATAAAATTAATCTTTATAGTTTTATAAAATAAATTAAAATATTTACCAGAAAGTGAATAATTGTTGTGAAATTAATCTAAATATTGTATTATACAAAATTAAATCTATGCATTGGAATTTTTTCATCGTCCCCAATCGCCCAAACAATAGTATTTTGGAAAATTGAATCATTATTTTGTTGTCGCTGACAATGCGTGCGATATTGCTTCTTATTTGTAACGACTGAAAAGTATCTAATGGAGTAAACTTTTCCTTCAATCCATTTTGAACAAAATTGTAGAACAAAGTTGACTTTAATTGAGGCATGAACGTAATCACCCTGTAATTAAAAATAAAAAATTAAGTTAATTTTATGACTTAATTAAGCTACCTAAATCACAAAAAAATTGTTTTAATCATAAATTAATTGATAAAAACTAAAAGGTTCATTAAAAGATTTAATAAATTTAAACAATTTATAAAGATATAATACCTCCTCATCCAATAGGATCATCAGGCGAGAAACTCGTAATTTGATATTCCAAATATTTTTGCTCGAATATAATTCTCTGATTAAATTAGATCTGCATGTAAAAACAAAATTCAATAAACAAAACATAAACATATAATCATTAAGTATTCCAAATAAACACAATTTAAGCAATAATCACAAATATACATTTAAACATGGGTTTTAAAAATTAGGCTAAGAATTACCCAGCCATTGGTGACCTAATAAAATTGACACAAAATTAATGACACAAAATTTGCTTGGTTTGGTTTGTATTGATACGAAATTTTGTTGGTGTCATATGATGCGTCAATTTATAATGGTAAATATCACAAATTTTAATTTAATTATAATTAAGGAATTATTTTTATCTCTTTTCATAAACACTATCAAAATTTATCTTATAATAGTAGGTATATAAATCCTATATCTAAAGATGATTATTTTAAAAGATAATTTTTAGTTTTTAAAATAAATTAAGTCCTAATAAATCAATATTCGTTGTTTTTACTTACGTGGAAAAATTCTTAAATCTCATTCGTCACTTTTGTTTAGGTGGCAAACGAATTTTTTAATTCTAAAATAAAATAGAAATCTAATTTTTAATTGGTCGAAAATTTACCTTTGCTCATGTGGCGCGCCGAATGCTCTCCAAAAATGCCCACTTTATTTATATAATATTAGATTATCATAAATGTTATGATTCTAAATACATTGTAATTCATACTAAATGAGTTGTGAGAATCAAATATGGAGTTACAATGTATTTAGAATCATAACATTTATGCCTATTTGATTCCATATTTTAATTCTCACAACTCATTTAGCATGAATTACAATGTATTTGATTCTAAACATTTATGCCTATTTGATGCACGGTAGTAATAATGTTTTTTCTCATAATTAATTTGTGATATAATATACAAATGAGGCAATTCGTGTGGAATAAACAAATACAATGCATATAAGAAAGAAGAAATAATAAGGAAAAAATTATTAAAACTACAATTGAAAAAAAAAATTATTTTTGTTGATTAGTTGTGTTGTAAATATTTATAAGTAGTATATATTATATTACATTCACGATGCATGTTATTCCCAATAAAACTATACAATGTAGATGTCGTATGGCTTTTTATTTATGAATTAATTTAGCTATAAAAAAAAACTATATAATGTACTTTAAAAAAATAAGCTAAGTTGAATAATAAAAAAATAAAAAAAAAACTTAATGCTGACATCATATATTATTTTGGCGGGAAAATTTTAATGATAGCTTGACATATATCCAAAATGATCGATGTAAGCATGACCAATTTTAGTAATAGTTAGTAGATTTTTTGAAGGAAAAAATAAGTTATAAGTTGGTAAATTATTATAGAAATATTTAACAAAATACTAACTCAATTATTATTGGTTCATAAGATTTCAAATCAACACCATGAATAGATTGATCACCCCCCCCCCCCATTATTGATCCCACAATTGTACAACTATATATATATATATCTTGGTATTTTAAATGTAAATATTGTATTTTTGGCTCCGATATTTTATAATCTCCACCATATTTCAACCTTCTAAATTATAACTTATTCTCCCTTATTTAAAAGGTTTCAAAATCTTGTGTAACTATTTTAAGTAAATAGAACATGAAATAAAAAGGAATACAATTAGTATAAAGTTGATAATTAAGATTAGGACTAATATTATTATAGTTGTATTATACAAATATTCCAAAAATAGAAGAATTTTGCTAAAAAGGGAGGGAGAAGTTTTGGAGGGAAAAAACAACACCAGGAAGTGACATGTGTCATTCCTGGTGTTTGTTTTAGTATTATGTTATAGATTCGAATAAGACATACAAAATAAAATCTTAAACCTAGAATATCAAAAGGGATTGTATGCAAACCTGGTTATTGGGAGGGTAGGGTCATGGTCGGTGCGGCAGTCTGTGGGTTGGTTCAAAAAGGTCATATTTTATAGGATCGATAGCGAGTTAGGCCAATGCGGGTCGCGGGTCAATAACGGGTCGATAATGGGCGGGCCAACAAATTATCAATCTAAATAAGTGTTGGACGAAGCCATAATTGAGTACATATGAATACGAAAATATGTATGTAATTTTTTACATAATCTATTTTCTCTATGTATTAAATTGTAAGAATATTTTGGCATTATATTGACCCTATCTAATAAGGGCCCTGACTATTAAAGACCTTGTCTATTAAGGGCCCTATAAGCTTGGCCCTAACCCTATTAAATCGGGTTACTCTGTCAAATAACCAAGTCAATCAAATAATAAAAGTCGTATAGTCAAAATTTGATCATAGACCTTGAGTATGGGCCATCTACTTTTTTTATAGGATCTTGATTATAGAATAGAATAGAATCTACTTTTTTGCTTTTTTATTTTTTTGCAGCTGGAAAAACAAGGTACAACTTATATAGCTGATTAGCCTTTTTTGCTAGGGTCTAGGTCATCTCTACCCAGTTTCTGTCTACTTTCACACATAGACAAAATGAGAAGGATCTTGAAATTTACCTAATAGCATCAATAATTAGACGAATGTAAGCTAGAGCTAAGTTCGGGTTGTTGATTAGATGAATCACTTCTAGGCTGTCTGTCTTTACAATCACTTGGTTCCACTTCTCTTTTGCTTGATGTAGTCCACTCTCCATAGCTCTGCACTTTTCTTATAGCTTATCACTAGCCACAATTTTTGTGGCTCCAGAATCCTGAAGTTGTTGTCCTTAGGTTATATACCATCCTACAGCTGCAGTAGGAGGTCTCTTTGTTTTTTTTTTTTTCAACTTCCAAGAAGAATCAATCTGGATTTGGAGAATAGAAGATGATAGCAGTTGACCTGTTCTCCAGATCCAACACTTTTGTTTTGGAGGAGAGATCTTCTGTTATGTCCTGTCTTCATTGCTAACTGTTACAATCCAGCGATGAAGAAGCTCTTGTGTTTCCTGCATTATCAGACTAGGATTTGGGTGGATCCTTTTGAATCGAATATATGGTTTCTGTGTAACCAAATAGCCCGTAGTGTTACCACAAATTCAGTCGCTCTTTATTCCATCTTGCCATCCTATTGTAAGAGAACAGACATAATGCATGTTACCCAATCTCTAATATTTTGGTTTCTATGTGGAGCTGTCCTCAGGCCTAGAGAGCTAGCAGCCTAGATCCTCGAGGAGAATTCACAATCTCTGAATAGATGCTCTTGTGTTTCTTGGTGTTCTCCACATAGGGGACAAACCTGCTCTACTAAGATGCCTTTTTTTTAGGTTCTCAGCAGTTGGAATTGCTTTGTGAGTAATTTTCCACATGAAAATTTTCCAATTAGGAAGTAATTTTCCTAGCCAAACTTTCTTCCAAAACTAGGTTAAATTACCCTTGGTGTCTGAGTTCCTTTCTTAGAGCCAATATCCTGATGACTTCACTGAATATGTTGCTGATCACTATTACATTTTTGACCAAATGCAACGGCCTAATAAAGGCTAATACAACGGTATTCTAATTGCCGTTGCAATAGAGTAGGCTATTGCCACGGATTTAACACTAATGTTCTTAGAGGTATAGCTATTGCAACGACTGTAAAGAACCGTTGCAATAGCCTAGCTATTTTAAAAAAAAATGAGAGCTATTGCAACGGTATGTTGTATCATGAAAAAATTTAGAATGAAGCGCGCATTTTCCCTCTATTTTTTTCACCAAATATTTAGAACAACACGTTTCTTTAATTTGCTTCCCTCTATTCACAATTCTCACGTACAGTACCTTTCCTCTTTTTCTCCATTTTCCCCATTCTCAATTTCTCATCACCATTTTCCCATTTTCTCCATTTCTCCATCTTCTTCATCCATTTGGTTATCTTCTTCATCCCGCAATCTCCTAAATCGTTCTAACCTTCTATGATTTTTCTGCTAGATTATAGAGTTCCGTTTGATTATTGCTCGGATAAGTTATTGGTCGGAGGTAAATCCTCAAATTCTTTCTCCTTTTTTTTTTTCTCCTCTCTATTCCATGCATCATCATTATTGCTTGAATTGAGACTTTCTTTTCCTTAAATTCAATCAATTTCAAGTTTCATGAACTCAATTTTAGGGTTTAGTTCTTTTTACAATGTCAATGTAAATTGATTTTGCAAAGACGGCGGTGTAGTCGGGTTTTCTGGTAAGATCTGCAACCTTTGATTTGATTATGCAATTGCAATTGTTACAGCTTGCAATTGATGGGTGGAATACGAATTGGGTTGATCTTGCTTAAAGTTGGTGGGTCCACTACTTGTGCTATCTTCTTCTTCATTTTTTCATGGCTAGTTTTCTATTCTTTTTAATCTCTTTCTGATTTTAGCGATTTTTGATGATTTTTGGTAATTCCCTTTTGTTTTGGTTTGTTAGGGTTTTAGGAATTTGAATTTGATATAACTGTGTTGTGTTGTAATTTGGGATTATTGGTTTATGTTGTTTATTGGAAAGGTAAGAAATTTGTTTTACTAGAGTGCTCTCAACTATGATTGATGGGTGGAATACGAATACTCGAATTACAGCTTTTTTCGTGGTGTCGAGTTGGGGGTGATAATGTGAATGTAAAGCATGGTTATTGTGTTTTAGAGTACCCATATTTGCCTTAGGAAAAAGACGTGGATGTCAAGATAAGTGAGAAATGTGTGTTGCTGAATTTGCTATCAACTACTGGTATGTATGCTGGGTGGAATGTTCAGCTGGTTTCGTGGTGTTAATTTTGTAGATTTATGTACTGGCTACTGAGAATATAAGATAGATTGTACTGGATTGTCAAGCTTCAAGCCTTCAAGCTTTGTTCTTGAGTGTTTCTTCCTTTTCGGGGATGACTAGGTAAGGACGTAATGGGTGGTTCAATTTGGTTTTGTATTAGGTGATGAATTGTAATTCATCAAGTGTTCATTGGATATTGTTTGTTGCTGAATGCTGAGCTTTTTGTCTGATGGGTAGTTTTTGGCCAGTGTACATACTCCCACAATTCGCTCCTTTTGTATTATATCATGCATTTGGAGGTCTGGTCCTAAGTATGTTGTTTTAACGTAGATCATGAAATTTTGGTTTTGCTACTATTTAGTTGAATTTTGTACTTTTGATCGTTGATTTATGATTTTAAGATCTGACACATTTAGTTTATTGGTTGGATCGTATGATTGTAGTGATTTTGTTTGTAGATTTCATATGTGTTGTTATGTTAATACATGACCTAAGTTTGTTGTGATGGAAGAGTATCGATATTTTGTATGTTTTCAATATTAGAAGTATGATATTTGAACAAACTAGGAAGTTGAACCATAATTTATCATAATGTAATAGCCAATCAAGTTCTAATGTGACATGTGATCATGATGCATTAATAATCTATAGCATCTAGCTGATTCAAAGCTAAATTTAAGACTGATCAGACTTTTTTTTCCACTAATATAGTGGTAAAGGAGGTTTTTGTTTTAAGGAACAATGGACTTACAATGCAAAAATGTTCTGGACTACAAGATCCATAGCAAGTGTCAAAAGTACAATGTTAGATCTTGCGTGGTTGGAAGATTGAGTTTCAAATTTACTATCATTTGGATCCAATCTTATTTATTGACGATGTTTTCTTCGGTTTATCAAACTACCTCTTTTACTTTGTAAATGTTTGTATTTCAGAATATGTTGAAGGATACATTTGCTGATTTTACTAAGCAGAAAATTCTGTCTCAGTCATTAAATGTGGTCTCGAGCTTCTTGGTGTGTGAGCATAACTTTGAATACTAACTTTTGTTTTTTTAATCTAGTGCAAGTCTGTCATTGAAGTTCGTAATGGCCTAACTTTCCTTGACCTTATAGTTAAGCAAATTGAGGTACTGCATTCTCCTCTTTATATATATATATATATATATATATATATATATATATATATATATATATATATATATATATATATATATATATTATGATTCTTGTTGGCTCTTACCCTCTTTTAGATGATACACAGAGCCTTAACAGCAAGTATGGATCCAAAGTGCCTTTGGTTCTGATGAACTCATTCAACACACATGATGATACACTTAAGATAAAGTACCCTTTTTTTTTTATGTTCCGTGCTGTTAGACTTTTATCTCGTGGAGCATCTTTTCAAGACTTCAAACTCATTGCATACAGATTGTTGAAAAATACGCCAATTCAAATGTTGAGATTCACACATTTAATCAGGTATGTTACTCCAGCCGAGTTGATGCCTCTTGCTTTAGGTACCACAGTATGGTGATGTGTTTCCTCTAATCATATCTTTACTCACTGGATTTTAATTACAATTCAGAGTCAATACCCTCGGCTGGTTGTTGAAGATTTCTCGACATTTCCATGCAAAGGTCAATCCGGCAAGGATGGATGGTATTATTTTACGCTGATATTGGCCTCAATTATTTGCATGTTGTGTTTGTTGAATGTACGTAGATGCTTACAATCTATCTCATCTCATATATGTTCTGTATTTGGTATAAAATTTGATCTGATGGAATATATATGTACTTTCTTTTGTTGAATTAAATTTTTGATTTTGGGAGGTGGGTTTTAGAAATTAAGAGCGAATATTGCCTGGTTTTTTTAATTTTGGTTGATATGCTTCTATTTGTGGGTTATGACTTTTGATTGTGAAATTGAGTTGATTGTGAAAAATTCATGTCTAACTGAGTAACTACATCTATAACTAATTTTTTCACTTATATATTCGAGGGAATTTTTTTCTTCAAAAAAAATAAAAAATAAAAAATCAAGGGAATTTTTTATTTTTAGTATGTTAGTCAAGGTAGGAGAGAAATGGGGAGAGGAGAGAAAACCGGTATGGGGCTCACCATTGTTAAATAGCTAAATGAAAAAATCATGAACCAATAACGATGTGATTTGAGTTTAGGATGTATTAAAAGTTTAAATTATTGATTTAATCCTTAAACGATGGTGATTTTTCTTGGAAAGTGGAAGTTTTGCTTGTTATGTTAGGGTGATCATATTAAGCTATTGGTACATTTGGTAGTATTTTAGAATCAAGAGTATCATTGTGTTGAACTATAGATTATGCTTAGTAACTCGATTTTAGTTTAAGATGTATAAAAACTACAGAAGCACCCAGCTGGCAGTCTGAGCAGAAACAGCAGCAGAAGCAGTAGCTTGGGCAGCAGAAACACAGCTGGCAGAAATAGCAGCAGACATAACCAACAGCAAGGACCTGCAGGCCAAAACCAGCAAGCCACGCCAGCAACACCTCAACAGCATTCCAGCAACACAACACCAGCAATACAGGAACAGCAAGCACCAACAACAGATATCAGCAGCAACAGGCTGGAAAAAGCAGGCTGTGGCAGAACCAGCAGATAGACAAGGAGCAGCTGACTAGCTGAAGACCAGCAATGCCACAGCAACAGAATCCAGCATCAACAACCATCACCAGTACACTAGTGGCAGCACCTGCAACCAGCAACAGGCTGGACAAAACCAGAACAGCCCCAACAGCAACTTGCACACACAGAGCTGTAAAGCAGAAGCAAGCAAAGACTTTGAATGCATATTAATAAAATTCTAATTTAATTTTGTAATTTTCCTTATAGGTAACAATGTACAAACTTTGAATTCATATTAATAAAATTCTAATTTTTTTAAAAAAATTCTTATTTTAATTGTATTATTATTATTATTATTATTATTATTATTATTATTATTATTATTATTATTATTATTATTATTATTATTATTATTATTATTATTATTATTATTATTATTATTATTATTATTATTATTATTATTATTATTATTATATTATTATTATTATTATTATTATTATTATTATTATTATTATTATTATTATTATTATTATTATTATTATTATTATTATTATTATTATTATTATTATTATTAATTATTATTATTATTATTATTATTATTATTATTATTATTATTATTATTATTATTATTATTATTATTATTATTATTATTATTATTATTATATTATTATTATTATTATTATTATTATTATTATTATTATTATATTATTATTATTATTATTATTATTATTATTATTATTATTATTATTATTATTATTATTATTATTATTATTATTATTATTATTATTATTATTATTATTATTATTATTATTATTATTATTATTATTATTATTATTATTATTTATTATTATTATTATTATTATTATTATTATTATTATTATTATTATTATTATTATTATTATTATTGGCATTAGGTATAGTGAACCGTAACATTAGGGTATATGCATTGTGTGACATTAGGTATAGGGAACCGTGACATTAGGTATAGGAAACCGTAGCATTAGGTATTATAGCTATTGCCACGGCAATAATGTTGCCGTTGCAATAGGTATTGATCTAATGCCACGGATCATTGATGTCGTGGCATTAGGTGTCATATGCCGTTGCATTAGACCTATTGCAACGCCAGCAGATGCCACGGTACATGGCCGTTGCATTACGCCTAATACCACGGATTTTGATGCCTAATGCAACGGATTTGAGGGTTGCAAAAGATAAAAAATGTAGTAGTGTGAAGGGGTATGGATCTATTCATACTTATCTATTGCCGTTTGTGAGGGGATAGGGATCGAGAGGACTTTTTGTGCATCATCAAATTCAAAAAGCCTTCTCACCAGAGCCACATTCCAAGCTTTACTTTCTGTCATGAGCTCATTCACCTTTGTTGGGGGAGTTGCACTTCTGAGTTGTGGTTTGAACTTGCTTATTGAATCCCCTGCCCAAATGTCTTGTTCTATGCTAATACTCATGCCATTCCCTATAGTTCTTCTTATTCCTGCTTTTAATGAAGAAATGCTTTCTACCAGGCTTCTAGCAGCGCCTGATTTTAGTTTCCTTTACTTCAATAACTAAACAACTAACATCAACTAACCAATAGAGCAATGTGAGAAAGAAGCAATATTGTTTAGTAAATTTGTATTGAACCAAAAGCAAATATTTTTACACCCTAAGCCAAGAAACGAATTTGTATGGACAATAATTAATCATCATTGTAGGGGTGATTATAAGATTTACCATTGTAAAAACAATCAACAATTTTATAACCAAGTTTTACACATTGTTTTTATTATTGTTGGGAGATAGGAGTTCCTACCACCCTTATGTTCTGTCACTATTTCAAACAACATCAAATGTTAGTATTTTGTTCTTTTTATGCTCATATCACTAGCTGAGCTTATTCGATTTACACTACTCTTACTATCCTTATCGGATGCCAATTATGAAAGAAGATAAATAATGTTTGTCCACTTGAACAAAGACCAAGATTTAGGCCATCTGACCATACACTAGCTTTTTGTATGTTGAATTGAAATTATATTTATTGATTAATCTGACTTATGCTGATTGTAATTGATATCAATTGATGAGCTAGGACAACAATTTTTAATAAATGAAACAACTTTTATTTATACACTAGAGTTTTTGTCGGCAAAACGTACTGTCAAAGCTTGTTACTTTTTTGCGGGTTTGAGCATGAGATTTGATACTAAAAACCGACACGAAGTTTGATCACCTTTAATACACAGACCCTTTATCTTAACTACTAAGCCAATACCTCATTAATATGTCATATGATGCAAATGTATCAAATTAAATGGTAAACAAACAAAATTGGTATAAAAAAAAAAAAAGGAAAGAAAGAAAGAAAAGGACCAAAACGCATTAATGAGAAACCAATGACATATAACAAAAACAAGGTCCAACCTTGTGGACAAATCCACGTAAGAAATAAAAGCCTTAAAAAGGGGTCCATCTTCATGTGGAAGCCCATACTACACTCATGTGCTCAAGATTTACACATTCTTTGCTTCTCCAATTTGTTAGGTTGATAATGATAGTAACTCTAAACCATATTAGGTCTGCCTCCATTATTGTTCATAAGAGTTGAGACTTAGAAAACAAAATAAATTAAGTAGAAGAAGATATATTGACATATGATAAGATAGGACTCTACAATTTATGAAAGTGATATATGAAAAAAAAAATTATTTATCAAAAAAATATTTTTACAATTTCTTTTTTTAAAAAATACTCCTAGATGAGTTTGGTCTGGCCAATTTGTTTATTTCATAACATACAAAGTATATAAAAAAGGAGAAAAAGATTGGATACCCTTGAATGTGACATTGACAACCATCTTTAGTGTCCCCTTGGCTCTTACGGTTTTGTAGAAGAACCTTTGGCAGGGAATTTGTGTGGTTACAAAAGAACAGTCCCTACCAAGGTGAAGGGTATTTACAAGTTTACAACTCACTAGGCTGCAGTCCATATATGGCGCAGGATGGGTGCCCTTCCTTGGAAGGTAGTTTTTAGCATCCATTACCTTAAATTACCCATTGTCTATGTAAATGGTGCTACGAGAATGGGTGTAATTTGACCAGTTGTTTAGATATGTCTAATCATATGTTTGGGTCAAGTCATGTCGGATCTATGTATGTGTATCCTTTTGAGTCGAATTGGTTTCTAGTCAAATAATAATAATAATAATAATAATAATAATAAGACTTCTTCCGTTATTTTTTAAATGCATCATTTGCAAAATCACGAACTCCTGGACAGTTTTTTAGAAGACACATGTGATATGAGTGATAAGTCCTAATTTGTACACATTTTAGGTGCATATCTACGCTCATTTGCTTATAGATTTAGAGGTCTAAGGTGCGTATTTATATTATTTGCTTAAGTTGTGCTCTACTACTCTCCGTTTGTGTGTTTTGATGAATTTTGGGTGACTTAGATGCAAATGGATTATGGTTGGCCAATCTTGAGTATAATAATCATGGAATATGAAGCTATCTCGCTCAAGGATCTCTACTCATGTCTTTGAGGCGAAATTGGGACTGAATAAAGCAAAGCATTGATGATCAAAAGTCTTGATGAATATGAGTTTTGTCCACTATATTGATCATAACTTATGATCTACAAATGATAATGGAGTGATTTTAATTGGGTTGGAAAGTAGGCTCTAAGAGCTTTCCAACGATATATTACACGCCTCAAACAAAGCTTCGGATCTCAAGTTATGACTGATTTTAGACAAGCTATGCGAGCAGCAGTGAGGCACGGACCTGTCTCATGTTGGCACGTTCATGCCATGACGAGTGAGCTAAGGCACGCCCATGCCATGACGAGTGCTAGAGTAGATTATTATTCTAGTGTTTGGTTGAAATCTAATATGATTGATACTTGATTTATTCTTTTAAATTCTCAATAAATTGTTTATATTGTTCATACTTAATTGCTTGTACTTATGCCAATACTAGATTAGAGATAATTAGTATTGTTATTATTCCTTTGTTTTAACCGCAACGTGAGTTGGATTTTAACAGATTTGAATAGATCAATACAAGGGTCTGAAGTTCATCACGAGAGTCGTTGAATGAATGATTAGGAAGTTAGAGTAATGTGTTTCATATCTCTAATTTGCATGATTCCACGAGAGTATGCTTGATTGTGATTAGGAAAGCCATTGATAACTCGAGAGACTTTTGTTACTATTTAGGGATTACTTTTCCTTATGAACATATAATTGATTGGTTGGGGTAGGAATTTGTCTTGTATTGATTATACTAGCGGTAATACTTAATTCTAGATGTTTTAAATATTTGATTTCCTGTTTTAGTAGTTTGGTAATTTTAACCCTATATTTGATTGAGTTAAATGTAATACCCCATATTTATATACTTATATAAATTTAAAGTATTATTTTATGACGTATTTAAATAATTTGAAATGAATTATTTATAGTATTTTAATATTTAAAATGGTGTATTTAATTAAAAAACCCATTTATTATTTATTTATATGGTTTGAAAATATTTTATTTTAATATTTTTGTAAACTTTGAGGCATATTTTAAATTATAAAGGAGTTTTAAAGTCAAAAGAATTTTGAATAAAGTCAAAAGACCAATTTGAGTGGAAGAGGGAATCATTAAGGGCAAATAGGGAATTTATGTAGGATGAGGGTTTAGAGAGGAGTATAAAACTATAAATACTCACCCAAAAGCAAAAATTGATTTTTACCCAAGGTGATAATTCCAAAGAGGTAAACTCTTTCTCCCTTTCTCTCTTATTTTTCCTCCTTAATTCCCCTCTCCCTCACCTCACACATGCCTCCCACAAACACCA